CTGCCCATTAATATGTTGAGTAGCATATTCAGAATTCATAAAGGAATATCTATAATTTATAGTGACATAAAGACAATATACATATGTGATGTAATAATATGTATGTGGTACCTAAATCAAAGGGTATCCAAGGGTGTACAGCAAAGTCTCCCTCTCATAGCTGCCCTAAACCACCCATCTTATTTCTCCTTCCTTTAACTACAATTAACAGTTTCTTTTGGATGTTTCTAGAAATAATAACCCTATCCAAACATATATCCCTATATATCTTCAGTGTTCTGTGCTCTGCATTTTTTTTCACTCAACAGTATATCCTGCAGATATTTGCAATGAACAGTAACATCAAAGACTTCATCATTACTTCTTACAGCTGCAGAGTATTGAATTGTGCAAATGTATTTTAATATACTAAATTACCTTTTTACTTATGTACTTTGTATCATGCTTTTAAACTAATTTGAGATGTAGTCCAATTATATCTGCAATGACTCTATTTTTAATAAGGTCACATTCTGAGATACTGGGGTCAGAACTTCAACATATGAATATATGTTGACATAATTCAACCCGTGACACATGTATTGCCAAGATTGAAGGAAAATTGGCATGCCCATACACTGATAATGGGAGTGTGAATTGCTTAACCTTTTAGAATGGCAATTTGTATATATGTATTAACTTTTCAAAAATGTGTCTACTTTCTGAAATAGCAGTCTTGATATTCTGTCTCTATCTTAGGCAGATAATAACAGAGGAATAAAATGCTATATGGAAAAAGGTCTACACAGGGTTGATTATAGCATTAAATCACATAAAATAATAGTAGATAATTGGCTAAATTGAGTATGATTCACATATGAGGTCATTAAAATGAAAATATTATTTTACTGAATTTAACAATGAAATGCTATACCTCTCAGTGATAGCAACACTTATCACATCATTGTCAAGAATACTGTGACATTGAAGGAAAGCTTTTTACTTCTCTTTTTAAATTTTAAATTAAAACAGATAATAATAATGTATGTCCAGTCTAATTATTAAAATACTGCTATTTATAACTAAAAAGAAATAACAAGTATTGGTGAGAATTTGGAGAAAAGGAAACCCTTCTTCATTGTTGGTGGGAAAATAAATCAGTGCAGCCACTATGTAAAACAATATGGGAGTTCCCCACAAAATTAAAAATAGAATGACCACATGATGCAGCAATCCTACTTATGGATATTTAGCCAAAGAACACAAAAACACTAACTCGAAAAAATATATGCACTCCTAAGTTCACTGAAGCATTATTTACAATAGCCAAGATATGGAAGCAACCTACGTGTCTATGGATAGACAAATGGTGAAGAAGATGTGGTACATATACACAATGGAATGTTATTCAGCCAATAAAGAGAAGAAAATATTGCCATTTTTGACAACATGGATGGACATTGAGGGCATTATACTAAGTAAAATAAATTATACAGAGAAAGACAAATATTGTATAATCTCACTTATATGTGGAATCTAAAACAAAACACAATCCAAAAAAAACAAGCTCACAGATACAAAGATTAGTAGTTGCAAGAGATAGGGGTGTGTGTGGGTGGGGTAGGGGTGGGGGTAACAGTTACTAGTATATGGTACAGATTACATATAAAAATTCTTGTTAAATAAAGTAAATACCTGTACTAGAGCGGATTATATCTGTCCCAACAACATGGCCCAGCAGGTCATATTGATTCAGGCGAGAGCCATCCTGTGCTACTTCCACAGATTTGTTCTTCCCAAGAGTCCAAGAATAAACCACTTCAGCTTTTGTATAGGCATCTAAGGCATAAAAGGGTCAAGAAGGAGAAGTTGAAGGGAAAGAAAAATGGTTATTTTTGATACTAAACTTGCATGAGTTTAAAATACAACTTACATCCCCAAAGAGTTCTGGGTAGGTGTTCTCTCTTCAATTGAAGTACATGTATCCATCAATCTAATAAACAATCATTGTATAACCACTATTGTTTATGCTGAGAACACAGAAATGAACCTAAAGTGGTCTTTTCCTTCAATGACCCACAGTCTTTTGCACTGCCAATAAATTGTGAACTTTCTCCTTCTCTTGGAGTGTAAAGAGTGGGGATAAGAGTAGGAATAGATAAAATATAATCTAATGCAGTTGTCACAAATTGAGATGCTTATAGAAGATAGAGAGGTACCTTAAATTAGTAAATTAGGCTAGTTGTGAGAAAAATTAACTGCCACAAAATGTAACAAATTTTCTTTAATTAGATATAGGGTGACCATATTAAATAAAGTTAAAAAAAATCATACTGAAAAAAAAAACTCACAGAGGAAACCAAGATGGCGGCATAGGTAAACACGTGAAATTGCTGCCTCACACAACCACTTCAAAAATACAACTAAAAGACAAAACGGATATCATCCAGAACCACAGGAAGGCTGGCTGAGTGGAAATTCTACAACTAGAAGGAAAGAGAAAAGCACACTGAGACTCAGAAGAGGTGCGGCAGTAAAGTGGAGGTACGGAGGCGCACGTGGAAAGGGCTGGCAACTGAGGACATGGTTTTTTGTGGGTTTTTTTTTTCAATCAGGGGGGAGTCTCAAGCTCCCGACTGCTCTGAATTCCAGCTCAGGGCAAGTCTCTGGGGACCCAGACTCATATGGGGAGAAACTGGACTGTCTGGCATCTGGTCGGCACTTGAGGGCGGCTTTCTCTCAGAGGTGCTTGAAGAGATTACCAGGACACTAAGAAGTAGTGCCTCTTAGGGTAGGACTGAGGATCTGCCATAGCTGTTTGCTCTGCCCTGTTGATTCCCTGAGACACCGCCCCACCCAAGCTGTGCACAGAGGCTTTTGCATATGAATGCCCTGGCCCTTTGCAATCTGAAAATTACCTAACAAACTGCAGCTGGGCCAGACAGACCCAGAACTTCCAAGAGAAGGCCCAAGGCCCCACAGCAGTTTGCATTGCTTCACAGCTGGACCTCATTTGGGCATCTCCAAACCCCAAACAAGGAAGGGGCATCTGCAGATTTCTCCGTAGCTCC